GGGGGTTGTGAAGATTTCTTTTTGTCAACAGTTAATCAGAAAACATGATTCTTTTTGTATAAACTAATACTAACAAACAAACTAATTTAATTTTTGCAGCTTGCTTTGAATTATCAAAAAGTGGTTCTTGTAATGTTAAGTTATGCGGTGTAACTCGAAAAATGAAGTGGTGAATAATTGTTTGTTGAAATATATATATATACTAGTTATTAATTGTTATTTGTGTCTTAAGACATTATATAACAAATAAAAAAATCTTAAATAATTGTCCAAAATATATCGTCGATCATATCTTCTATATTCATAGAATTGTTATAAAAATTCTCTAAAATAACACCATATATATAAATGCCTCTAAAAAAAATAAATACTAATATAGCCCGTTGAAATTATAATCTTTAAACAATAAATAAAATTTTGTTCATTTATAACACTCATGGATTTATCACTTCTATTATCATTCAATCTAATAATGCAACATAATTATAAACTCAATAATCATATTTTCAATCCACCCTATTCCCACGTAATAAATACCTCAAGCAAAAAATAAAAAATAAAACTAACACAATACAATTAAATTCACAATCTTAAAGCGATAAATAAAATCAATCAAATAATACTCAATTATAAAACTCATGAATTTATCACCACTATTACCATTTAACCCCAAAATAACATAATGTAATTATAAATTTAATCACCAAAATTTTAATCCTCCACACATAAATATACACAAAAACACTCACACAAATTTCTTTTTTGGGTACCAACAAACTCTTCTAACCAATAACTGTTTTTATTAGAAATACAATAATTCAAGTTTGTAAGATAAATTAATAATAAATTAATATTTAATTAAAAAAATGGTAAAAATTGCGGACATAACCTAAATTTTGGTAATATTACAAGAATACCTCTTGATATTTTATAAATAACATGGAGATCCCTGATATTTAAAATACATTGCACAGAGACTCCATCTGTCTCCCTACTGTCAATGTTGCTAACGAAAATTGATAATTTCATTTCAAAAACTTTATTATTTTTACAATTGCGTTTCTCCAAATTCAATACCAAAAAAAATTTAAATTTTAATAAAATCAAATAAAATTTGATTTAATACCTAAAAAATTGATATAATTTAGTACTCCAAAAAATTAATTAAATAAATTTTAATATTAATTTGATAACAATAAAAATTAATTTGATATTAATTCAACAAAGTTGAATATAAATTAGACAAAATTAAATGTCATTTTTTGATAAAATTATATATAAATTTACAATCTAAGGTTCGTTTCATATTGAATATTATTTAGTGTTTATAGTTAATGTACTATTTTTTGATTTACATTAAGTGTTATTTAAAAATTAAGAAGCAAGTGGTAAAATACATACTGTTAGATATATAAAAACTTTGAATTAATTTTATGGAATGAATAATTACATAACATGTAGTTTCATCTGTTTTATGGAGTAAAAAATAACACAGAGGAAATAAAAAAAAAAGATAACAGTATGAGATAGAGAGTTATATAAGAGATGAGAGTCTTATGGTATATATATATATATATGGTCCTCGTACTCGGGGGTGGACGGAGGCATGGGTCACGGCGAGCAAATCCCCCCCCCCTCAAAGTTTTTTTTTTTATTAGTGAGGTATATATATTATATATTTGTATAATATACTATTTATGCTCACCCAAAACCTAAGATAAAAATATTAGGCCCACATTATTGATCCAAAAAAATTAAAAAATTAAGTCCATTTAAAATAAAAAAATTTAAGTCCACCACTATCTATCAAAACTTATTAAAAAAATCAAATCTTTAATCTATCACAATTCACTCAAATCTATTAAAAAAAAAAAACTTTTGGCCATCCCTCAATTTTTTTTTTCATATTAAGCAAGTATTTTTTGAAATAAATTTAGATATATTTAATTGTGTCTACCCTAATATTGTGTTCTAGTGATATTGATTTGAATAGATCCCTACTTAAATAATTGTTAATTTTTTAAACAATGTTATTAAAACCTAATTTAAGGATTTAATATATTGCGATATTAAGTATAATATTAAAAAGTATTAAATATAATTTTAATAAATATAAATTTATGAACTTTTAGGATCAATTAAAAAAAAAATAAAACACGTTAGTGTGCCCGCCCTAAAATTTTTTTCTATGATTCTATAAATGAATGAGCAATCGACAAGGAAGGGTATGTTATGCCTTGATATTAGATCCTTGTCATAGAGTAGATGAACGATTCATAAGTTGCCTGCCAGTTAATGTTGATTGATAGTCTTACTAGAGTTAGGTTCAATGTACAGTGCTGTTCAAACCTTCTTCGTAGGCACCGGCTCAATGAACGAGGCAGCGTGCCTACCGTATGTATTGTAGAGTGTAAAAATGCAACTTGAGTTTGTTCTTGTCTTTGTATTTGTGTCATTTCATGACTCGATCAGATGTTCTTGCATCTAATTCTATTATTATTACATCTGAACGCAAAATGTTAGTTTTCTGAGGCGCCTGTAGGAATACTACGCATCTGATCTGATGCCAATAATATGCCAACACCCCTTATGATGCCACCCCCCCAACCAAAACCCAAAAAAAAGAGAGAGAAGTGTATCTATTTCTATGGCTTTTATCGTTAGGCCTGCATTAGATTAGATTCTCTTGGCCTAGAGACAGTAATTATGCTTAAAGACTTCAAATCTCAATATTACAGATTACAAAAAAGAACATCTTTACTTCTACATCAAAACAGCCAATGGAACAGAGAGATGTGATGGTGGTTCCAAATGCTCGTCGTTTAGAATACCCGTTATATTGTAGCTATTCTTGAGAAGATGGGAGGGAGAGGAGAGAGCAAAATTAACAAGGCAGTAACAAGAGTAGGATAAACAGTCCATTATTTTCCTTCCCCGCTCTAATAGCGCCATCTGTTCGGTCTTTCTCAGAGATCAGTGAAACCAAATTTACAATTCCTTTGCCACATGCAACCCCATCCAGCATAACAGAATATCTAACCGGACGAAGGATACCCATAGAAACTGCAAGATGTAGCACCGCCCATCCACCACTGCATGTGTAAAAAACGAATTTAAATTTCCATAACAGTACATATTAAGTAAAATTTCTAGACCCATGTAAGAAATTTGAAAATTCTTCAATACCTTCCTACAAACCAAATTTAAAACATCATTTTTCCCTAAGAATTAAAATTAAACTTCAAAAGGGGGCGATGCCTGAAGTTTCATAACAATTAAGCTACTCTATTTTCTTTTCTTTGTCTAACTACCACCGGTAAGTCAACAGATAAAATTACATGCTGACATACCTTCTGCATCACGTATGGCCAGATCCCAGTAGCCTGCAAGATCTACTTGTAGGGAGCAAATAAGATTGACGAGTTGTGGCCACCGAACCCAAACGAATTGGACAATGCCACCTTAATGTCCAGCCTTTCTTTCTTTGAGCCCACTACCACATTCATGTCCTGATTTGATATGTAGGCATTCTTAGGCTACTCAATGTTATGTATGGTAATAAAACTGAATTTCAATACAGATCATCAGACATTGAAATACAAGCAGAAGAAATATGCATTACAAAAACCTTTTTGGCAAGCTTTCCAATTGAAAGTTCAAATATGCCCCCTTAAAACAGATTAACACAGACAACAGTAAAATGACCAGAAAAATGTAGCTCATAGTCGTACACTCACACTCGTTTAGGACATGTAGTATTGAAGACAAGAATGCAGGTTGGGATTTTGACCCGCTTTCATCTATTGTACTAATCAGGGATGGACACTGTTTATTTCTCTCCAACTGCTACTACTCCATAGTTGTCTCCCTTAATGACCCTACCGTGAGGGAACACAAATAGCAACTGAAATGAACCTTTTTGAAGGAGAATGAGACATTACAACATGCCATGAAATAACATTTCACACAATCAGACATAATGAAGGATAGTGAAAAAGAACAATACAAGAACATACCACGCCTTCATCTGGGTTTTCAAGATTGATATTTGGATGAATCCACCCTGTCCTTATTGCCTACAAGGAGTCACAAGTTCATGTCAACAATCAACTCATGACACATCTCACCAAGTTTTACATTTTGGAGTTAATTTTAGTAAACATAATTTCAAGTTTGAAATGAAGTTTGCAAACAATGACAAGGAAATCAACAAACACGAATGATATTTGAGTGGCAATAAGAGCATCAACAAAGCATTACATTGCAAGCCTCCTCCAGCAGATCAACCAAATTTTCCCTCTCTCAATGAACAACATCAAAGAGATTATGGAACTTCTAGTTCAAGCCTGATTCAGTCAAATCCCTTCCCTTTTCGGCAGACCCATTCCCACCCAGCAGAGAAGATCAATTCAAGGATCTGAAGGCCAATTATTCCCCAAGGGATTTACCCCTTCTCAGTGACCCTTATAGTGTAAATAACAACATCAGAGGCACATAGGCATGTTTCTTATGGTAAACATATTATGCAAGATGCTTTAGTAAATGAAGATAAAAGCATAAAAAAGTCTGGATCAGTTAACTGAAATACCAATACTTATCGTTGCATGCAAATACTGCGAAAGTTCATTCCATGAGATTGCTATCTAGACTAGTAAGGGGTATGAGTAGGGGCGGCAATTTTTGACGCAACACGAAAACACGACTCGAAATTGATAGAAAATTAGTGGATTAGGGTTGATCATTTCTCAACACAAACTCGTAAATGATACAATCCATTAACACAAATAATAAATGGGTCGGATTAGTGTCAACCACGAATAACACGAAATTAACATGATTAACTAGTACTACAGGAATAAAATGCCAATTATTTGTTATTATTTATTAAATACTGACATAATTATTATACAAAAAAAGACCCTTTTAGTCATTTTTATTATTATGTTTATTAAGTAAATTTTTAGTTTATAAAAAAAGTATAAGCATAAATTCAATTAAGTAATAATAAAATCTTAAACTTAAACCTTAGCTTTAAATTCTCTACTCACAGAAGTTATACGGGTCAGCACGAATACAACACGAACATAAACAGGTCAGGTCGACATGACACAATTAGTTAAATGGGTTGAGTTAGTATTGACTAGTGTTGGAGACGAACCCGTAATGACACAACACTATTGCCACCCCTAGTTATGAGATAGGCTACTTTGGTTATTGGCTATATTCTTATTGGTAGAGTGACGTCCTCCCCTTTTTACTTTGTTGAAAAGGGATTCCTCATCCCCCAAAATTTCTATACATTCTCTTCCTTAAATTAATATAATTTCCCGCTGAGGAACAAAAATATGTAATTACTGGATAAAAGGTGCACAACAAATTTTCATGTAATAACCCCCCCCCAACAAAAAAACACACACACACATATGTAGCTTTTTCCTGCAGATGATCAGCTTGAACACAGACTTCAATTTGTACCACAACTAAATTCGTAGGTTGATACCTGTACAGTTGCAACAGCTTCCACAGCACCGGCTGCTCCGAGTAGGTGGCCAATCATAGATTTTGTAGAGTTCACTCGTAACTGTGAACATTAAAAAATCCCATTAATCCAGAATAAAAATAAGGCTCACAAAGGAAAACTCAATATCTAATCAAGTAACCTCAGGATTCTGGCCAAAACAGTGAACGAGGGCTTGGTACTCCTTCAGGTCCCCAGCTGGTGTTGATGTTGCATGTGCATTAATGTAGTTCACCTCTTCCCTAGATACCCCAGACTGAGCTAAGGCCTTTTCTATGCATAGAATCACACCAGTCCCTGCTTGTAGGTGTGAAACAATGGATATCAGTTCAAACCACATTTTCTTATATTAGCTCATACAATTTGCATATCATGTTTACTTTCCAATTCTGGCCACATTGTTACAAATGCAAGTATTTGGATTCAAAACTGGAACAAGTATTAGGTAGGAGCAGTCGAGCAGATATTTATATCTTCTTGTTTTAAATTGTGACTCTAATTCATCACCCTTGAAGAGGCCCACTAGGCTCATAAACTAGTTTGAGAGGCCTAATGCTACCGGTGTGGGATAATTCTCTCTCTTTCTCTCATAGTACCACTGATATGAACAGAACTCCATATGCATTTAAGTAGTAAATATTCAATCACAGATTCCATTAGGAAGTCTTGCAACGGAAGTTGCAAATTGCTAGTGATAATAATGCAGCAACACTCTCCAACCGTCATCTAAACATCATAAAAATAATCTGTGACCGCGAGAGAGATTTTATTTGGCATAGGAATTTGTTGTGAAACTTCATTTTTAATCTCATCTATCACTTTCAAGTCAAGAGGACAAAGCCTTGTCCTATGTCCCATTTCAAGAAGCTAAGTTGGACACACACATGTACTCTTTTTTGCACACATGTCTGCTGAGGACAAAGACTGGCAGGGAGTATACTTGTATAAACTTCACAAATTGGATGCACATTTTGTTGTTGATAAACCATAAACTTAAAGTTATGCCATACAAACTAAAACCACTGCCCGTCCACCAATTTTGGAGGCCAAGGTACAATCCAACCATGGATCAGTCAGCTGACTCGTTTGATGCATGAAAACTTTAAAATAGTAAAAGGTACAATGACAAAAAACCTGACTCAGTTCATTGTCTAAGGCTTATTAACTGTTAAGGAGTTTGATTCCTCATCCCCCATAACCACAAGGATTCTTTCACTCAAAGCATAAAAACATTCAATGGCACAGTCTGGTTCAATAAGAGAACCAGACCAACAGAGGGGCTGGATTGCTGCTTTGCCAGTCCTCACCTGTTTATTAAAGTGAATCAGACCAACAAAGTGGCTGGAACCCCACCTTTGCCAGTTCAATCACTGATAATAACAGTTCCTATTGCAACTCACCAAAGCTTTTACACCATGACTAATAATAGCTTAAGCACCTATTTGAATTCAAGCACTTGCGTAGGCTCGAACATTCAAACACAGGATTCAAGGTGACTACAATAATACTATAGTCAACAAGCTTATCCTTGTGATTTCGAGGTTCTTATAGCTGATTTTGAGCATAAAAACAGCTACAAACTTTGAACAACTCCCAGAAAAAAACAAAGACTGAGAAACAAGGACAAAAAACCTTCCCACAATAAAGAATATATAAAAATATTTTACCCAAAAAGGGAGAAAAAAAAAGGAAGTGTTAAATAAAGAAGAATTTCCATCTCTCAGAAAATATTACATGATATTCAATATCACAGTGCAATCGGCTGTGCATGGAATCACTATTCAAAAAACTTAACAACGTACCTTCAGGATGAGGCTCTGTCATGTGATAAGCATCACAAGTGAAGCTTCCACCCAGAAATTCTGCATAGATATTTGCACCTCTTTTCTGAATAAAAGCAACAAGAAATGAAAAAAATCATCAGTAGTGCAAAGCAATAATTTTATTTGAAGACTCGCATAGACTACATATTGTATGATTTGCCTTTTAAATGTACCTTAGCATGCTCAAGGTCCTCCAATAGCAGAACTCCAGCTCCTTCCCCCATAACAAAACCATCACGATTCTGCCAATAGAAAAACCAAAATGTGTGGCAAGTATTTGAGTTATATCACTTTACCACAAACAGAATCATAATTCGCATAAATGAATGCGCTTACTTTCTCCTAGAGGTTATTATTTCACCAATACACAAACTGGAACCCAAAAACTTCTTAGCCATGAGTTGGGTGTTGACATATTACCTTTCTGAACTCCTCAAAATGGATATCATGACAAAGTGCTTGGCAAGGTGACATATCATTCTTCTTCAAGATAGCGTCTTGCAGAAGAACTTACTCAACAGGGTCACAAGCGTGCTACTACTAGATATCCGTTTTGAGGAGTTCTCTATTTATGTGATGAACAAGAACTTCTGAACAATTTCCTTCGACTATTTTATTTAAAAAAAAAAAAGCTTCCCTAGAACTAGAAACTAACCGAAGGAGAGAAGAATATGAAAACATTAAGTGTCAAACATTACAATATCCCAAGGGCATGAAGCTTTGGTAGGATCAACGTTTCTCTGAGAAAGTGCTCTGCATGCCACAAAACCTCCCAATCCTGAGTCAACAGATATCAAATCAATAAATTCAGGCTACTATAATCAACAAAACCTGAGAAAGGATTATATAAATACCAATAGGTATGATTGCTGCATCTGAGCCACCACAAAGCATCATATCCTGCAAGGTCTCAACAGCTGTCAAAAAATATTGCCATAAACAGCAACATATTTTCTATTTCATTTTCTTTGTGCAGTTTTACTTTGTTAAATTGTTTCTAGACTGCTCTAGAAAAAACCAAATGCAGGACACTCACAGCTTCACCTCTGATGATGTGGTTTGCTGCATTCAATATACAGAAGTTGCTTGTGGCACAAGCAGTAGAAATCGAATAGTTTGGGCCCATCCATCCCTGCAATTCAGTATTTAAATAAGATTTTATGAAAATTTCAATTCGGTGTCAAGTGGATATTAATTCGCAACATCATATTAGCAGACCAGGTCCATAGCGAGGATGGCTGAACCCATATTTGTAGTTGCAAAAGGTACACAAAAGGGATTCATCTTCTTGTACGAGATCCTTAGAGCTTCTATTGCATCATTGAAAACCTGCTCAATTTACAAGAAAACCCAAGACAAAATCAATAAAGAAGGTATCTGATAATGCAGAATGAATCCGTTCATTCTGCAGGCATTGTGGCTCTCATGTGCAATTCTGAAGCCTGGACACCATTTACTGCCAGAAGAAGTTCTAAGAGGAGGACACTATATAGGTAAAGACATAGGCCACAGCGACACATCATCACAGCAACATTTCAAGAAGTTGGAATTTATTCCCAACTTGGAGCATATAAGCAGCTTCAGTGAACTCTCTGAAGTTGCTTTCATTTGGTTTGGTCTACTACTCAACAAGCAAACCACAAAGATGGCTGATGCAACAAGCAGGAACATATTTCATGTTGTATAACTCAAATTTTACTCGGTATAAAATTTTGTAAAAAAGAAGTTACTCCATTCTCTAATTTTAATGAAATTTGCACCTTTAAAATGCAATACAGTCAAAGGTTACCTTCATGCCACCCATAGCCGAGCCAATCAAAACCCCACATTTAGTCTTATCCACTTCATTCATTACATCTTCCGTAATTCCACCATCTTCCAATGCTTTTTTGCCAGCTGTGAGCATGTAAAGCATGAAGTTGTCCATCCTCTTCGAAAGTTTGGGTGCAACCCATCCATCTGTTGAGAAAGACTTGATCTCCCCAGCAATTCTCTATCAAAAAACCCTTCTATCAAACTTAAACCAAAAGGCCTGACCTAGAAACACAGAGAGACCATGAACAAAGAAATACCGTTGGATACTGGGAACAATCAAAAGCCTCTATCTCACTTATGCCACTGACACCTTCAAGCAGATTATTGTAAAACACCTCGGGATCATGACCAATTGGGGTCTCCACACCCATCCCTGTGACCACCACTCGCCTTTGCCTGGTGGGAAGTTTCTTTTTTACAGCAACTTCCATGGCCGGTTGCACAGCGACGGCCATTGCTTCACCTAAAAACATTAACAATAAGTCACAACCGATGGTTGTACACACCTCCAAACATATCGCGTGGAACAGTACTCAAACATTTAATGGTGAGAGCATTAAATAAAAATTAAGCAACTTCTTAATGTGAAACTTTAAATGAGTATTAAAATATTTATTTAACAACCATAAAGCCTGGCACCCAAGTTGGCTGAGACCAATTTTTTCTCATGACAAATGCATGCAAAACAATTATAACAAAAAGGCAGAAGAAACAGAGAAGTATCCCAGAGCCCCATAACCAAGGTAAGTATTACCAATCTCTTAGAATTAGAAACTACAAGCTAGGTACAAAAAAATAGATAGTAAGGATGAAGAAGCAAGGCGAATGAAAACTACTGGTCAGATTAAGAATTCTGAGTTCAACGCAACCTCACCTGCCCTTATAAACTAAAAATTCAAGAAAAAAAAGCATATATATATTTCGTTTGAATATATACAAAGAGAGCAAAAGGCATCAATATGAAGATTAAGCTGCTAGGCCGCAATCACTCTGTAATATGCAGTGCTCATGCATATTTTATGAGCAAAATACCATCTAATCATTAAGCACTTGTCCAAATAACAACCACAAGCTTCATTTACTGCAAACTTTATTCATCAACTTAAAAGGCGGATTGAACACAAAATTCCAACTTTGTGATTTTTAGGCTGAAAAAACAATGAAAATATATCAAACAGAAGTCTAATTTAAACCCGAGATTAGGATATTATTTGTCTGATAAAACAACAAGTCATGAAATGATTGAACATGCCCAAATTTCCCAATCAAAAGGGCAACGGTGATTACCAGAATGGGCAACTCTTTTGATCTTCCTCCCCCTCCGATCCAGCGGAACAATTTTCGATCCTAGAATCGATCCCAACCCTGTCTGGCCAAAGAAGTCTGATGTCAAAATCCCTTTAGAACTATAATACTCAGGACAGGGCTCCAAAGAACTCATCAGATGCTGTAAGCTCGATCCACACAATGACGAAATTAAACCTCTTTGCAATTGGGTGTTAGTAGAAGTGCATTTAGGCAAGACCATTCTTCTACGAGTCAATTTGGTTAATCTTTTCGAAGGTGAAGATTGAAACATCGAAGGGTTCATCATCATGGTATTGTCTTTCTCACCAGTAACAGACATGCAAGCCGCCACCAACCATGTACAAATTACAGACGACGACGACGACGACGCCATGAGTTTATCAAAAGACCCTGATAATCCAAAAGTACCCAATAACCAAAACAATCAATAAAGAAATCTCTCTCTCTCTCTCTTTCTACCTATACAGCGTGTGTGTGCGAGTGAGTGTGAATGAGAAACACAAATTGATTGATATGAATTAGAGAAGAAGTGGGGTGAAGCCTTCACCGGAAGCGATATTGTGTGGAGTAAGGCAATAATGTTAATGGTAGGCAGAGAGAAATAGAAATGGCATGTTGAGAGATGGCGAGGGTGGTGATATGGAGACAAACATTGTTGGTGGTCGTTGTGGTTTTTGTTTTGGTGGGTCGAATCTTTGAGTTCACAAAAGATATCGGAGGAGGAGGCCGTCTGTCATTTTGCCGGATCACACTCTCTCTCTCTCTCTCCAGTTGGAAGCGGTCGAGACGCCAAGTTCAGAGTTTTGGGCAAAATCTGACTTCTCCTGAAACACACACGCAAACAGAGAGTAACGCCCAAGTGGTCTGTGTCGCTCGCTTGTGCTGTGACAACCAAACATAAATTAAATTAATTATAAATACAAGAAAGAATCTATGACCAGCAACATTTTAAAAATATTTGTGTCACACGGTTGTTAAAAATATTTTTAAAAATATTTTAAAAATACAAGAAATATTTGTCTACCCTTAATACCACCATGTATCGTGTGGGCCGACCACACACGGTTGTTACTAGTTGCCATTACCATAATTGCAACAGCAGAAACAGACATACGTGACAATGGCAGCCGGTAGTTATTAATGGTTAACTCTGTTTAACTCAAGTTACAAACAGAGAATTATAAGTGTTAACAACAGAGAATTACGAGTGTTAAAAAATAAAAATAAAAATAAAATAGAGGTACTGTAGACATTTGTAGGGTGGGACACCAAACTCTACCAAAAAAAAAACATAATAACACAAAAAAAAAATTTAATCCGATACAAGATTGCAAACAGTTGAAGTTAGTTTATAATCAATTTACATAAAAACTAGTTAAAATTCATTTATTTATCAAATAAATGGAACTAAGCTCCTTCAATAGATGACTCATGCTCGAATAATGTCTTGTTTGTTGAACTTGTACTCATTTTCTGTTTAATTTGTTGAGCTCGAACACGAGTTTGAATTCACAATTATTAAATCAAGTTCAAACTCAAATGCCGTAGACAAAAAATGATTCGAAATCAAACAATTTCAAATTCAACCCGGTTCAGTTTGTTTGCACCTTGAAAGGTTGTTGCCTGTTTGTATCTCTGTCCAAATGGGGGGAGGAAAGTGGTTAGAATGGTGGGCATTATAGTCTTTCAACAGATAAAGAAATGAGTATTCGTTCAAATCCATTATGTTTGGATCAAAAATAGATCATACGTATTAGACGATGGACGTATACAAAAATACTCATATAAACCTGCACAAGGATGAATTGACACTTATCTCCACCCCGTCCCGCCCCCGCTAACTCGTATATATATGTAAAAGATCATAAAACCTCAATCCTATTCCTACCAACCTATAAAGTTAATTTTAAAATTCAGTGGGCTATTTTTTTTTTCTTTGTCCAATAAGGTAAGATCTATTAT